TCTCACGCTTGAGGTATTCGGCTAATCACAACGCACTGGATAGCTGGCCAGTCAGAGCACACCTCGCTTTTCAGACCGATGAGCTTTGTAAAAATCGACGCGTTTCAAAAAGGCGGGGCATAGAGGAGAAACAATAATGTACAGTATGTGGAAAATAATGTGTTTTTTTAACTTTAAACCGCATAAACACATTTCATTACACCAAATACACAAAATAATGTTCTTTTTAGCAACATCATATGACCCCTTTAAAAAAAAAATCCTGATATAAAGACTGAATTGCAAGATATAAACTTGTAACTCGAAAAAAGGAAAAAGTAATAATTGCGAGATTAAATATTTTAAATAACGCACTTATCCTTTTAATTGGCAGAAACCAAGAAAAAGAATCGTAGAATGTAAACTAGATATGAATGTTTTATTTCACAATTCTGACTTCTTTCTCTCGCAATTCTGAGCTGTAAACTCAGAGTTGCAAGATATAATATATTCAGAGGAGAAAAAAAATAAATCTAAATTTTGAGTTAATATTTCATCCCAGAATTGTGCAGAAAAAAAAGTGAAATAAAATGTCACTTTTTTTGTTTGTTTTTTAAACCATGGCGGAAATGGGGTTCCATATACAGATGCGTTTTGTCCGTGGAAATGCGTTATTCGCATATAGGTTTTTCATTGCACAGCGCACAAACGCAATTAATCGATGATTAATAAAAAAATGAATGGCTAATTATCGATTAATGTAATTTATTTTCATTGTTGATCATTCTTGATTGGTTGTTGCAGCCCAGACATTATTACAAGTTCTCTTATGGAAATGTTTTTAAATGTAATGTTGCTGCAGATATACTGTAGGTTGTAATCACTTTTTTTGTTTTTTTTTGCTCTTTCAGAAGGAAGACCCTACCAAGAACAATCCTCGCTTCTGGGATGAGCTGTTTCTGATGAAGGTTGCTGGCAGATACACATCCTGAAATACGTTTTGTACTGGAGTCATTTCTGTGGAGCTGTTTTATCAATAAGTGGGCAGTATTGTTGATCTTTCTCTGTGCTTTGAGCAGGTCAATCTGGAGTATCTGGAGGGGAAGTTGGAGTCTCTGGACGGGGATGAAGTCATGAAAATCAAAGACAACATCAACAGTTTGTTCCATCACTGTGTTCAAGCTCTGGCTGAAGAGCACCAGATCAAAGTAGTCAATGCGCTTCAGGTAAAATCATGCTTACTGCATTTATAAGGAACATCTTTATAATTCACATAATCAAATCATGCTACACATAATTGGTAATGTTTCACCGCAGAATATTTAGTATAAAGAAAATTAACCATTAGAACATTTTGTATTTATTTTATTTTTATGTCAGTTACAAATATTTTTGCCTTCAAATGCTCATTAATATAAAAAAAAATCTCATTCTTATCACTGCAATTTGAAAAAAATAACGATGCATTATGTGAATGTTTAAGTTATTTGTACATGATGGTAGAACTTCTTATACTTATTTTTTTAATCATTGTGTCTGTATAGGATTTAAAAAAAAAATTATTTAGAGTATTGAAAGTCTACGAATCTAATAAGGTTAACCATTGATAATAATGGGAATTACAACTCGAAGCCTAAAATCCATGCACTTAATTAATGAATGAATGAATTAATTTTTACTTAATGGTAATGATAATTACGGAGTAAAATGTACTTGGTTGTCATAAAATTACAAAATATAATAATAGTGTAAAAAATACACTACCATTCAAAAATGTGAGGCCAGTAAGATTTTTTTTTTTTTTTAAGAAATTACTACCTTTATTTAGCAAGGACACATTAAATGAATCAAGTTACAGTAAAGACATTTATAATGTTGCAGAAGATTTCTGTCTCAAATAAATGCTGAAAAACTGTTTTAACGTTTTGAACATTGATAATAATTAGAAATGTTTCTTGAGCAGAATATTAAAATGATTTCTGAAGATCATGTGACACTGAAGACTGGAGTAATGATGCTGAAAATTCAGCTGCACATCACAGAAATAAATTACATATATTCAGTTAGAAAGCACTTATTTAAAAAATTTTAATATTTCACAATAATACTGTTTTTACAGTGTATTTGATCAAATAAATGCAGCCTTGGTGAGCAGACGAGACGTCTTTCAAAAACCTTAAAAAATCTTACAGACCCCAAACTTTTGAACAGCAGTGGAAGTTTCATTTTCTTTACACAATATTATTTGTACAATTATTTTTTGGCTTAAACATGCTTAAAAACATTCAATTGGAAACACAAAACCGAAGTTGTGAAGTCAGCTTTTGTGTTTGCAGACACACCCTGCGTTCAGTTACTGGTTGGCATTCAGAAAATCTAACAGTTGCTTTTGACCCAAAGATCTGAATGAAAAGTACTACAAAGAAAAGAACAGCTCACCAGTCTCCTCCTGTCTGTTTCTGTAGACTCTCTGTGCGCTGTTTCGAGGAGTTCACCAGAAGAACAAATCCGCCACAGGCTTTGACATCATCAACATGCTGATGGGCTTCGACAAAGCTGAGCTCCGAATGAAGGTCAGTCGTTTGTCCCGCTTGCACAAGATCTGGACGTTTTGATTGAATGCAAATTTGAGTTCTAATGTAATTGTGCGCACAGGAGCTAATGGAGAGCCTGGACAGTCTGCTGTGCGGTGATGGATCGGAGAGTCTGAAGAGTTTGTGTCTAAAACTACTGCTGTGTCTGGTCACTGTAAGATCAACACATCCATTCTTCTGCACTCTTTTGGTTAAAATCTGGTCACTTTCATTTTCACTCCATAGTAAATCGTTCTACTTGCCCCGTAGTTTGTCAAATAAATCAAAAATCAGTCCATTTACAATGGAAGTCATATGGGGCAAGGAATGGCACCAAAAATAGACGTTAAAATATGAACGATTAAAAAAATTATAGCAACAAAACTTAAAGAAATAGTTCATCCAAAAATGAAAATGCGCTGACAGTTTACTCACCTTCAGGCCAACCAAGATGTAGATGAGTTTGTTTCTTCATCAGATTTGGAGAAATGTAGCATTGCATCAGTGTCTCAGCAATGGATTGGCGTGAAGGTGAGTAAACTGTCAGCGCATTTTCATTTTTGGGTGAACTATTCCTTTAAAAATGAGATGTTCACATGGCACTATTGTGATAATATCCTTTTTTGCTGCTTTGAAATCCTCTGGTATACTCGGCCCGTAGATGTCCATTGCTGTAAATGCTATTTTTGTTTATTTCTGATGTTTTCTGACGTGGTTATAATGTGTTTTTTTTTATTTCAGGTGACAGATAATATTAGTCAGAACACCATTCTGGAGTATGTGATGATCAACAGTATATTTGAGGCCATTCTACAGGTAAGACTGTGATTGGGTGTATTATGTGTGGCGTGAATTTTTCGATCTTGCCAGTGCATTATAATGTCGTCCATTTCATTTGCCTCTTTTTGTCCAGATTCTTTCTGACGTTTCCAGTCGAGCGCAGCATGGATATGATGCTGTGGTACTATTAGCTCTGCTGGTCAACTACAGGAAGTATGAGGTAAATGCACAGTAAAAACTTTATTAAGTCACTATTTCTAAATGCAAAATAAGCACATTGATGTTTGTGCTAATATAATATGTCATTCTAGCAGTTCTAGTCATGAAGCTTTGTTTGTAACACTTCTGTGAGATTCATTGTTTCCTCTGTTAATTGTAGTCTGTGAATCCTTACATTGTGAAACTGTCGATAGTGGACGACGAGCCGACCCTGGATGTGAGTGATTAGGGAGATTCTTGAAATTCAAGATATTATTGAGTCACATGGAGGTCTAATATAGTTGATCTTTCATAGGGCATGGGAATGGTCATCCACCACGCACTTACAGAGTACAATAGGTAACGTGCAATCTCTGTCGATTTGTTTTTAAGAAACATCTATGTGAAAGATTTAATGTGTCCCATCTGATTTCCACAGGCAGTATAAAGACAAAGAAGAAGAAAACCAGGGAGGCTTTTTTTCCACCCTTTCCAGCATGGTATGAAAGTTTTCCACTCTAAATGAAAATTCTGTCCTCATTTATTCATTTATTCATTTCCAAACCTGCTTGACTTTTTGTGTCTGTGGAGCACAAAAAGAGAAATTTCGCCGAATGTTCATGCTGCTCTTTTCCATACAATGAAAATGAGTTCGCAACTACAGATTTATAATAATAATGCTTCGGTCTGCAGGTGGGCAGTATGTTTATCGCTGATGCAGATGAGAAGCTGTCAGTACAGTAAGTAAAAACTAAAATATTTTATTTTAATCAGTGAACACAAAGCACCTAAATTGCATTTTTTTTAAAATAAATAATGCACCCACTGTACAAAAGTTTGGGGTCGTAAAGATTTTTAAAAATGTTTTTAAAAGAAGTCTCTTCTGTTCACAAAGGCTGCATTTATCTGATGAAAAATACGGTAAAAATTGTAATATTTTGAAATATTATTACAATTTCACAACTGTTTTCTATTTGAATATATTTTAAAATGTAATTTATTCCTGAATTTTCAGCAGCCATTAATCCAGTCTTTAATTTCACATGATGCTTTAGAAATTTAATGTTGTTAAGCATAAAATCAAAAGAAAAAATAAGAAATTATATGTAGAAATGATTTGTGTAGAGAAAATGATATTTACACTAATGTTCAAAAGTTTGGGGTCCGTAAGATTTGAAGGTTTTTGAAAGAAGTCTCTTCTGCTCACCAAGGCTGCATTTATTTGACAATACAGTAAAAACACTAATATTGTGAAATATTATTACAATTTAAAATAAGCGTTTTCTCTTGTAATATGTTGTAAAATGTAATTAATTCCTGTGTTCAAAGCTGCATTTCCAGCATCATTACTCCAGTCTTCAGTGTCACATGATCCTTCAGAAATCATTCTAATATGCTGATTTGCTGCTCAATTATTATAAATTATTATTGGTGCTCAATTTTTAATAATGGTACTTATAGATATCAATGTTGGAAACTGTGACACATTTTTTCAGGATTCTTTGATGAATAGAAAGTTCAAAAGAGCAGGATTTATTTGAAACAGAAATACTTTGTAACATTATAAAAGTAATTACTGTCACTTTTGGTCAATTTAAATAAAAGTTTCTTTCAAAAAAGTGAACCTTTGAACAGAAGTTGTATATTCATATTTAAAGGTCAGATCAGCCCCATAAGTCTCCAGTACATGATAGCAGTCGTCAAATATTGAAATCTCCATTCTTGAATTATTAAATCAAATGCTCCACATGTCTGATGACTTTACTGTCCTTTAGGACTAATGAAGCCATCCTGCTCGCTCTGTATGAGGCCGTGCATCTCAACAGAAACTTCATCACGGTTCTTGCACAGGTCAGCACTGCACAATTATTTTTCACTATTTTCTTTGAGCATTGACTTAATCTTACGCTTGCATGTTCCAATGCTTTTATCATAAGGCCTATGCTATGCTACATTGAGGCTTATGGTTTACTTGTGAATCACAGAGCCATCCGGAGATTGACATGGCAACGACCCCGGCTACACCCGTCCCAGCCTCTCCTACGACCCCGCTGGGCACCACACCGCCCTCTCTGGACAGTGAGCTGTGTTAAAATATCATTCACTCAGCCTCATGTCAAACCCACAGGACCTTCTTTCTTCTGCAGAACACAAAAGTAGAAATCTTGATGCACCGTATTTGAATCGAATACATTCAGTGGCTGTTTCTATAAAACAAACTACTAGGGCTGGATTTTGACACAAATTTCACGATTCGATTCGATTCTCATTCACAAGCTTGCGATTCGATTACCGATTCGATTCGATTCAATATTGATTATTTTGGATATGCTATATATCAGGTACAGTACATGCCAAATTTTCTCAAGGAAAAAAAAATCTCAACTAATGCTGTAAAATATACACGAGAGTCAGTTGGTACTACATTACTATCATATTGAAGGTTAAAACTGACTGATTTTTTAGGCTGTACAACTGCTTAAATTACACTTAAACATGAGACAGATACGTATTGCAAAGTTGTACTCTTTCTTTTAACTTACCTTCGTTGTTTAGTCATGTTTATTTTGTGCTGAAGCTGGTATTAATGTGGAGGAGACGATCAGTTCACTGAGGCGCTACAGCGATCTGTCACTCCACATTAAACAGCGCCAAAACTGCATTTATTGTTTGAATATTGCAATACAATGGACAGAATTTGAAATCTGAGACTTTTATATTAAAAGCACAATACTTATTGAGATTTATTGGACGGGAAGTGCCCTTCAACGTTCCGTCCATTAACTGAAAACAGCGAGACTAATCGATTCTTGGGATTTAAGCATCAATATCGTTCCGTAAAAATGAGAATCTATTAATATCGAGATATCGATATTTTTACCCAGCCCTACAAACTACTATTAAATGGTCAGCGCAGTAACCAGAAGTGAGGGTTGTTTGAATAATGAAACGCTTTGAGCTTTTTAAACAGCTGTTGTTCAGCAAATGACCCTCTGAATCGTACTTTCAGTCTGTTATAGTAGAGCCGACACCTCGCTTCCTTAAGCTTGACTCCACACTTACATTTGCCTCTAAAACACGTGTAACTTTTATGCTGCTTTTTGCGTTGCAACCTTTTGAAAACTTGATATCCATTAGCCGTATGAAATATTAAATCCACTCGGATCTGGCAGCCTGAAGCTCCCGTGGTGGATGTGGCGTGTTCTCCTGCTTGAATGTGCCAGCAGAGCTGAATCATCTGTAATCAGGATGACATGGATTACTTGGTCCAGAAACATTCACAATATACTTACCTTAGAGTTAATGCCTGTAAACAACAAGGACAGTAACAATAATGATAATTATAACGTTTTAATAATCATTCTAATATAATAATAACTGTAACTTAATAATAATCGTTCAATTACCTCATGAACAGTTAAATGCTCTCCCCTACTGTTCAATAAAAAGATGTGCAATACCACATTTGTTTACTTAATATAATTTTCTAATTATCATTCTAATTTAACAAAAACTAACGTTTTAATAATCGTTAAAATAAAAAACTATAATTTTCTAATTATCATTCTAATTTAACAAAAACTGTAACGTTTTAATAATCGTTAAAATAAAAAACTATAATTTTCTAATTATCATTCTAATTTAACAAAAACTAACGTTTTAATAATCGTTAAAATAAAAAACTATAATTTTCTAATTATCATTCTAATTTAACAATAACTTGTAACGTTTAAATATTCGTTAAAATTTAACAAAAAACTATAATGTTCTAACAATCGTCCTAATTTAACAAAAACTGTAACCATTTTAATAATCGTAAAAATTTAACAAAAAACTATAATGTTCTAACAATCGTCCTAATTTAACAAAAACTGTAACGTTTTAATAATCATTAAAATAATTTAACAATAACTTGTAACGTTTAAATATTCGTTAAAATTTAACAAAAAACTATAATGTTCTAACAATCGTCCTAATTTAACAAAAACTGTAACGTTTTAATAATCATTAAAATAAAAAAACAAACATTTTCTAATTCTAATTTAACAATAACTATAACGTTTTAATAATCGTTAAAATTTAACAAAAAACTATAATGTTCTAACAATCGTCCTAATTTAACAATAACTGTAACGTTTTAATAATCGTTAAAATTTAACAAAAACTATAATGTTCTAACAATCGTCCTAATTTAACAAAAACTGTAATGTTTTAATAATCGTTAAAATAAAAACCTAAAATTTTCTAATCATTCTAATTTAACAATAACTATAACGTTTTAATAATCGTTAAAATTTAACAAAAAACTATAATGTTCCAACAATCGTCCTAATTTAACAAAAATTGTAACGTTTTAATAATCGTTAAAATAAAAAAAAACTATAATTTTCTAATTATCATTCTAATTGAACAATAACTGTAACGTTTTAATAATTGTTAAAATTTAACAAAAACTAATGTTCTAACAATCGTCCTAATTTAACAAAAACTCTAACATTTTAATAATCATTGTAATTTAACAATAACTGTAACATTTTAATTGTTCTGATTTAACAGTAACTAACATTTTAATAATCATTAAAATGTAACAAAAACTATAATGTTCTAATATTCGTCCTAATTTAACAAAAACTCTAACATTTTAATAATCGTTCTAATTTAACAATAACTATAGTTTTTTAATATTCGTTCTAATTTAACAATAACTATAATGTTTTAATAATGTTCTAATTGTATAAGAATGGCAACATCCACACCACTGCTATAATGATAATGACGCAGAGGAACAATGTCATTGGAATCTCTTTCAGAAGGGATTTTTTATTCCCAGCTGATAAACAATAAAACATTGACAGCCAATCAGAATCCACCCGACTTTACAGATCATGAGCATTTACAGCGGCAGACGACGAAACAGAGTGGCAGCAAGCGTGGATGCTAAAATCATTATAGTTATCATTCTTACTATGAATGGAGCTTTACCTTGTGCTGTGTATCAATCCTAAACAGTATGCAAGATTATAGTACTTAAAAAAAACATATTACTCTCAAGTGTGGACTTTCTCAATACGAAGTATATACTTTTAGTGTGTAATATAGGTACGCAAAATTGGGGCGAATGATCATTCTCAGAAATGATTCACCATTCTTTCATTTTCTCCTTGCAGTGATGAATAATCCCGAGCTTCCTCTGGACCCAAACTTGCAGACGAGTAATCTTCTTATAACCTTCCTCAAATATTCCTCCATCGTAATGCAGGACACCAAAGGCAAGATATCACTGTTTGTCTAGTCTGTGCTGCCCAAAACCTAGTGAGCTTCCTTGCTGTCTACAGCCTAACGTCCAAACTCAAACAGAACCTAGATTTCAGTGGAGTTTGTTGTTAGCATGTCGCTAAGCTAACAACATGATATAAGCATAAAAGCATGAAGGACACACATTTTAGCTAAAATAGTCCATTTGTAATCAGATTAAACTAAACGGTACTTGGTGTTTGAGGTATTATAGTTATTATCGGCATTTTTCCCGCTTCGTCCACCATTTTGGATTTTTGCGTTTGTTGCAATGCATTATGGGATTGTGTTCTTTACAAAGGATACATGCACTCTTTAATTTTTGCAAAAGATGTTTAATAGAAGGCAGCATAACCTAATCTATATTTTGGAAAAGCTTTTGTGCCGAAGCGCTTCGTGCCTTAAAATGCTGCCTAAGTACGGAGCTCACTAGAATTTGGAACGGAGCCATTTATTTCTCTTAGTTTTCAGCCAGTCTTTTGTGCACATCTTACAATAGATTTCCTCTGTGTGTTTTCAGATGAACACCGACTCAACAGTGCCAGGCTGTGCCTCATCATTCTGACCTGCATAGCCGAGGTAATGCATTGTGGGTAATTAAACATTTTTTTCCTGTGAGTACGTTCACTCTTTGACCGTTTGTGCTCACGCTGTTTGTTTAACAGGACCAGTACGCCGACGCCTTTCTCCACGATGATAACATGAACTTCAGGGTCAACTTGCACAGAATGGTAAGAGTCTCTGCTCGGGTCTCAGTTGTCTGTAAATGGCAGAATCCAAATGAAGACGATGTTTCAGGCATACAAAGCAGCTGCCTGGCTGCATGATACAGCCGATCCATTACGAAATGGGACGTCCCAGACGTTACCTGCTGCTGCTGCTGCTGCGGTAAATCCAGTTATCTAGCCTCCGTCTCTCCACGTGAAAGCAGGATCATTTGTGTTCTTCTGACTGAAATCAACCTTAGCCAGTCTCTAAGGGATAGTTCATCCATGTCCATGCAATGAAAGTCCAGTGTAGCTTTTGAGTGAAGTCATTTTTCTTACTGACACTCCTGTATTTCAGCCCATGAGACATCGAAAGAAAGCCGCGGATAAGAGCATCCCCTCTCGGCCTTTAGTTTGTGCAGTTCTGGGTGAGTTTTGTGTTCAGAATGAGGGATTCATCGTGTGAATGGCTCTATCATTTTTTATGTGAGTTTTTTTTGTCTTTGCAGATCTGATGGTTGAGTTTATCATTACTCATATGATGAAGGAGTTTCCTATGGATCTCTACGTGTGAGTTTCCTTTTAATATGCTGTTTTAGATACTGCGATGCTTAGATAAATGTGGATATGGTGAGAATTAATTAAGTGATTTATTTTAGGCGCTGCGTTCAGATAATTCACAAACTGATCTGCTACCAGAAGAAGTGCAGAATTAGGATGCACTACACGTGGAGAGAGCTCTGGTCAGGTATGATGGTTACGGTGTGTGTCTGAGTAAAACACAGGCATGCACTCTGTGTCATTCTGTTTCGTTTTTTCTTTGCTTTAAGTTTTAGTCTTTTTTTTTTTTTGGTTTTCTTTTTTTTTTTCTTTAGCCACCC